AGGCTTCTTAACCTACCCCCAAGGTTCTGGCAATAGCTTCTCCAAGGGCCTTTCAGAGCTGAGGATATAAAGGCATTTCAGGAGGACCAGGCCTCCCCACCATCTCCTGGAAGCAACAGCACCTTTAGCACCCACTCTAGAGGGGAGCTTGCCCACATGTCAGAGCACCTCCATGTTACTGGAAGATCCTGCATGGGTTGATCGTTCTGGGAATAGAAGTGGGGTGCTGGGGAGCAGAGCTATGGGAAGGTAGCACAAAAGTACAGTGGCAGATGAGAGGTGACCACAATGGGCTGAGTGACATTGCCAGACTTCCTGGGAGAATGCTGCCAACAGTGTGCTGGGACTTCCTTCTAGTCCCCTCCTGGGGACATCTCTGAAGAGGCTGGCCCTCCATTGGTGCCACCAGGTTGCGATCTGAGAAACACCCCGATGGGTGGTGGCGGTAGGGATTGATTTTAATAGCTGGATAGCTGCCACAGGGTGCATTTAGGAGCTGTGTGCTCACATGGGGAAGCGGGGTAGAGGATTTGATCTGGACCACCACATTGGAAGCAAATCTGAAGCCAGCATCCTCGAGGCCCCTGACCTTCACCACTATCCCCTGCTACCTCACAGCAGTGCTCCATGTCTGAACAACTTGGTGCTCCAAAAACATTTTTCCTTTCTATATTTGTCATTTGTACTCACAGCACAGCAAGGTATTAGACAGAAAATTGGCCCAGAGAGAGTAAGTGGCTTGCTGAGTTTCACAGCAAATGAATAGGAGAGGAGATGCTAAAGCCCAGGCTTCCTGCTCCTCCTTGCATCTCACTAGGTTTCAGACTCCTTCCAGAATATGGCATGTCTGGGGGCTGGGGTGCCTCAGTGGCAGAGCAATTGCCTAGTGTAAGCAAGGCCCTAGGTCAATCCCTAGCACCACACAAAACAAGACAAAAAGAAGTATGTGGGGAGTGTGTGTGTGTGTGTGTGTATAGAGAGAAAGAGAGAGAGACAGACAGACAGATATAGAGGAGCTCCCTTCCACTGAGAGCCTCTCCGAGACAGGCGCTGTGCTAGACACTCCACAGACCTTCTGCCATTGTACTGGGGGACAGGCTGGCTGTCTGCACTCACCATACTCAGGACCTAACACACAGCTGCCACTCAAGATCCCATTGAGTGAATGATGTTTGAATCTAATCCATCAGGTTACGAGTAAAATATCTCTACTTAGCTATTTTCTTTTTTGAGAGACGGTCTCACTATGTAGTCCAGGCTGGCCTTGAACTCTTTGTTGTCCTGCCTCAGCCTCCTGAGTTCTGGGTTACAGGCCTGTGCCATGCCCGCCTCACAATCTCTGTTTTGTGGAAGCATTTCCCGTAAATGTTTATCAAGCACCACAACTTCTGCTTGCCACTGGCATAAGGAAACCAAAGCTCAGTAAGGGTAGATGACTTCATGAATGTCACACAGCTAGTCTGGGGCAGGGCCTGTGCTGGCTCCCCCACCCCCAGCCTGTGGGTGGCTGAAAGGGACTGCTCTTCTGACAGTAGAGACTATTAAAATAACTGAAGAGAGCTTGGTCCCCCAGACAGTCAGCCAGCTCAGACGCAGGCCTGCAGTTCTCCAGCCAGGTGCACTGGGTGCTTCAGACAGGATTTGTGTTCCTGGAAAACTGGGTTTAAATCATCTTTAAAAACGCAACTAAAACCATCCATTATAACCTCCAGGGAAGCCTGCTGCCCGGTTTCCTTTGTACCATGAAGAGTCCTTTAGAGTTTTCACATTTGCTCTCCTGGCTTTTCTCAAAGTACATCAATCTGCTGGGTGGTAGAGGAAGCCAACCACCAGGCTCTGGCCAAGAAGAGCACAGACTCAGTGGTGAGCACCCTTCTCAGACCCTGGCCGAGCCTGCTGCCTTCCCAGTTAGGCTGGAGTTAAACCTAGCCATGGGCCTCAGCTCTGGGGACAGCTTGGAGTCCCGAGCCAGCAGCTTGGGTTAGCAAATTAATAAAGAGAAGCTCTTGCAGCCAGGTCCGTGGTGAGAGACGAGTTAGGTCATGTCTCTCTCTGTTCAATCGGATATTACTCCCAACCCTGATGTCACCTTCAAGCTATTAAACATCACCCTCTGAGACACGCAGGAGTGGCTTGAAAGCCTCTTATCAGATGCTCTTGCTGATGGCAGGGGTGAAGTCCTGGAAGTTGTTTCTTTGCCAACCACAGGTCAAAGGGGAAAGGTTTGTCTAAGTTTCAGACAGGGACCAGGGCATGAGGCGCCATGAACAGAATCAGAGAAATTTCTCCTGGACTGGAGAAACAGGGTGTGTGTCCCCTCTCCAAGGACATGACTTAACCAGATCTTGTGGTTTCTAAGGGCCTGGACTGCATCAAGTCATCTAACTGGCCTCTGCATCAGAGCTCCCCTACATGGCTCATGTGTCTAGCAGTGAGCTCTTTGGAGCTGAGATGCCCGTAGATACCACTAATTTAACAGTTTCCCCATCCACCCACCCATCCATCCATCCATCCATCCGTCTATTCATTCATCTATTCAACTATCCATTCAACCATCCATCCATCCATCTACTCACCCATCCATCCATCCATCCATCCATCCATTCATCCATCTATTTAACTATCCATTCAACCATTCACCCATCCATCCATCTACTCACCCATCCATCCATCCATCCATCCATCCATTCATCCATCTATTCAACTATCCATTCAACCATCCATTTATCCATTCATCCATCCATGCAATATTTATTATCTTCCAGGCATCATGCTGGCAGCTAGCTTGGAAAGCAGACCACAAATGAATAAACGCTAATAGAAGAACTGTAAGTAGAGGTAGTGACCATAAAGGGACATACACAGCATGGAAAGGCAGAGAGAAAGCGATAGTAGTGGACTGGGAGGTGAGAGTGACCATGGGTAATGGCAGTAGTAGAGAAAGGAGTGACTTTCAGATATTTTTAAAGATGTTTCAAAAATACTCAGGTATTCAAGGTTTGTGAGAAATGGGACTGAAATGGGACAACCAGGGAGAGAAAGAACATGGTGACAGCCACTGCTGTGGTGGCCTGACATAAGTGACAAATGTCTCATTGGTGACTGTAAAGGATTAGCTGGAGGCTTCCCTGCTTTGCTGGGGAAGATGTAGCTCTTCACAAAAAATGTTTCCTCTCCCAAGAAGGAAAGAGAGCCGCTCACTAGCGTTTACCTGATCACTGGGACTCTGGAGCTTTGTGGGTCCAGACGGAAAAGAGTGGATCCCTACTGATGCTGGTTTCTTTTTGAACAGAGGAGCGGTCAGAAATGCACCCAGCCCAGGGTGGGCAGATTTCTGCAGCCCTTTCTCTTTTCTTTCTCTCGTTCCCCCCCACCCCCCAGAAGGGCAGCCACACACTTTGTCCCCAGTGCTCTCTCAAGGATGGAGAAACACATTACTGAAAAGTTGTCTGGATTCCTACTGCCGGCAGTCAGTGGCTCCCATCAGGGAGTTGCCAGTGGGTGGCCTTGCTTCCCTGGCTCAGTGGGGTTGGAAGTTTAGCTCCAGTGGTGGAGAGCCTGCCTGGAAAACACAAAGCTCCCCCCACCAAAAAAAAAAAAAAAGAGAGAGAGAGAGAGAGAGAGAGACAGTGGACAGTGGCAAAGGGCAGGAGACAGCAGAATATAATCTAAATCTCCAGGATGGAAGCATTGCCTGGAATCAGAATGCCTGCATCCAAACTCAGCTGATGAAACTGAGCAGGGTGGTGCACACCTATAATCCCAGCACCCTGGAGGCTGAGGCAGGAGGATTCATCTTCTGAAGGAAGGAGTGTTGGAGTGTTTGAGGGTGTCTATCTTCTTGGTGGACCTGAACCTTAGCCTGCTGAGCCTCTTTCCCTTTGGGGCCTTGATTATGGTGGGTCTGCTTATGCTGCCAGTCCTGATGACATCACTTCTGGTCACTGTCCATACTGGGCCTAGGCTGCCTCAATGCAAAATCCTGGCCAGGTCTCCTCTTCTGGCTCCCTCCCTCCATTCTCTCTAATAAGTACTATTGTCCATTGATGGTATCTTGATGAGACAAATTTTTTTAATTGAAAAGATAGAATATGTGACTTCTTTTTCTATGCACTTTTATTACTAATTATATGTATTTTCCAACCTTGAACAATAAAAACCTTCAAAATTTTAATTTAAAACACTAGAAGTGGGACTGGGGGTATATTTCAGTGGTAGAGAGCACTTGCTTACCATGGGTAAGGCCCTGGGTTCTATCCCTAGCACAGGAAGAGAAGGAAAGAAAGAAGAAAAGGGGAAGGGAAGGGAATCAGAGGGAGGGATGAAGGGAGGGAGGGAAAGAGAAGGAGGAGGTGGAGGAGAGGAAGGAGGAAGGAGGGAGGAGGAGGGAGGGAGGGATGGAGGGAAGGAAGGGAGGAAGGAAGGAAAGAAGGAAGGAAAAGGGAAGGAAAGGAAGGAAGGAAGGCAATCTTTTTGCAGTGAGAACTGAAGACAACATGTTTGCTGTTTTGTTTTGGCAATGATGATATTTGTACCCACCTTTGGAAGACCCTAAAGGAGAACAGCTTGTTTTAGACTATTTCTTTCTCTTTTCTCATTGCTTCTGGACACTGTCTGGAATCATCAGACGAAAATATTAAGATCGCTCGTAAGAGCTTTGGTCTTCACTCTGCAAAGAAAGGGACCTGGGAGCTTTGCTTTTTTATTGATTTTATTTTTCCAAGAGTTTTCTTACAAAGTGAATCGACTTTGCACAGTTACCTTGATGTAATCTTAGGAAAATATATGAAGTATGCTTTAGAAAAAAATTACACATATGCTAACCAGTCATCTCATTTGGCAGTCATTTTCCACAGCTTTTATTCTTTTGGGGGAGGGGAGGTGGGTTATTTTCACACAGGAATGATTAAATCTAAGTGCAAGAGATCCAAACTCTTGCTGACCTCCCTCTGCAACACCAGCTGGGGTGGAGAGATTAAGCCCCAGCTTAGAGGCAGGCAGGGGTCTCTTTTCAAGGGGTTGTCTCAGGCTGTTTGTCCATCAGTCTGCAGAGTGGCATCTCTAGAAGATGAGGCTGAAGGCTGAGCAGTGCATCCACACGAACCTTGCGGTTGGAATTGTGAAACACACAGGAGGGCTACAGTGCGTCCTCTGGAGGGAGAGGGACTGTTTTCCTGTCCTGTGCACAGTCAGAGTCCTTCGAGAGCACAGGACACCGCAGTGGGCAAACCTTCCTGTCCAGGATTCCAAGTCTTTCGGTCCTCACCTGGCAGCCCTGGCATTATTTCCCCATCCTGGGACACAGGGGCCACTTTCCAGCCCTCAATTCATTAATGGGTTGGAAAGTAAGAGCTGCTCCACCTCCTGGGACCTCTGCTCAACAGTTCAGCTGCTCCCCCGAATTGAGCTGGAGCAGCAGGTGCAGTCAGGGTTCACCCCCAGCCACTCAGTGAAGCCCCCGTGAACAGGGCAGTGTAGGAACACAGAGTCCTACACTAGGTTATTGTTTGGTCTTCTCCCAGTCATGCTCATAAATTTGCCTATTCAATGGCCAAAAAACTTGGAGACAGGGAAAGGTTTCTGATTTGCAGTCTGAGTTGCTGTCTTTAACCCTCCTCACACCGGTGTCCTTTGGGGTTCTGGAAGACCGAATGGCCCTAAAAGCTGTTTAGAGAGAAAAAGTGGAGAAGTGGGCCAGGATGTGTGCATCTCCATCATTTGTTTTCTTCTGGAGCATTTGCTTTTATGAGTCACCAACTGGTTCCAAGGCTCCTCTCCCCGCAGGCCAGGTGGTGTCCAGACCTGGATGAGGCCTGGCGGATGCAGGAGGAAGATGTCAGGAGAGATGTGGATGGCAGCTGAGAGACCCTGAGAAGCAGCCTCCCTAGAGTTTCTAGATTCATCCAGTCCAGTAAGCACTGTTTAATTCCACAGGAGTGTGGGATACCAAGGCCCTTGAAGGGGCGGCTAAGATAGAGCAATGCTGATAGCTCTTCTGACAAATGTGATGCTTCCGGCCACTCTGGGTAGCTTCACAACCAAGAGTTGATGCAAGGTGGGGTGGAGGGGAGAAGGTGAAGATGGGATGGGGGTGTAGTTGGGAAGGAGGGCTCAGTCCTCAGTCCTTTCTTCTCCATGGAGAACCTTACTCTGAACTTGGAGAGGCTGCAGAGTCCCCATCCTCGGGGTCCTGCCCATGGGGAGAGACAGGCTGACCTCCCTTCACACGCTTCCACTTCATCCTTCGGTTCTGGAACCACACTTTCACCTGAGGGAGGAAGCAGAAGAGTCTGGTGACCCCCTCTCCATGTTGATGCTCAAGGTAGGCAGGGTCCACTCCAGGGACCCCTCACTTGCTGCTCCCCATTGCCCCAAGGCCCTAGGAACTGAGACCAAAGGAAGAACACCAACCTTCCCGGTATTGTGTCTCCAGATGTAGTCTCTAAAAATCACTCTGCATTGGCCCCAGCCTAGCCTCCACTACCTAAGGGTCTGAGAGCAGAGGGCATCAGTCTTAACCCTAGGCACATTAGAAAGCACTCTTCAGGGCTGGTGGAGTGGCTCAAGTGGTAAGAGCTCCTGCCTAGCATGAGGCCCTGAGTTCAAACCCCCATAGCACCAAAAACAAACAAACAAACAACAACAATTAACCCCCCCCCCAAAAACCGCTGGGCACAGTGGCTCACACCTATAATCCTAGCTACTCAGAAGGTAGAGATCAAGAGGATCAAGGTTTGAAGCCAGCCTGGGCAAACAGTTCACAAGGCCCTATCTCCAAAAACCCGTCACAAAAAAGGACTGGTGGAGTGGCTCAAGGTGTAGACCCTGAGTTCAAACCCCAGTACCACAAACAAACAAACAAAAAACCCCAAAGCACTCTTCAGTTCAGATAGTCAACATGTTTTCTTCAGTATTACATGCAGGCCAGGATTATGTGCCCATTTTACAGATGAAGACCCAGAGGGCTAGCAAGTAGCAGAGGCAGGATTTAAATCTATATTTGTCTTCTGATCCAAAAATCCAAAACTCTGGCAGAGCCCTCTATTGATTGAAAGTTGCTACCGAAGGTTATTGTTATTACTGCGTGTCAGAGCAGGGGTGTGGGCAGGGTGTGATGCTCCAAGGGAAAGCCCAAAAGACAGGGCCAGGGAAGTTGTAGTCAAAGTGGTGTGCAAGAAACCTACTGCATAGCCACTTCACCTGGAGATTTTAGTAGAAATGCATATTCCAAGTCCTGCTCATTAGGAATGCAAAATTTTTCCTGGATCTCAGGGATCTGCATTTTAAACAAGTACTTAGGTGATTCCAATGTCCACTTGGGTTTAGGGAATAATCAAATCAGAAGTTCCAACCCCAGCTTCCCATGAGAATCACCTGGGGACCTCTGAAAAATCTGGATGCCCCCATTCCATCCCAGATCAAACTCAGTAGTCTCCAGGGGTGCAGCCCAGACATCAGTGTTACTAAAATCTCCCTAGATGATTCTCAGGTACAGCCACAGTTGAAAAACACTGGACGGCTGGAGAGAGAAGGAAAGAAAGGTCTAGGGAGGAAGGACAGGAAGTGGGGGAGGAAACAGCAGGAAAGAGGCACAGATTGCACCTGTCGCTCGGAGAGGTCCAGGTTAACAGCGATCTCATATCTGCGGAGCCGGGTCAGGTAGTTGTGGTGGGCGAACTCCGCCTCCAGCTCCCTCAGCTGTTCCTTGGTGAAGGCCGTCCTCTCCTTGCGAGCCTTGCTGCTGCCTTCTAGCTTCCCTCGGTTCTCCTGGTTGTCTGGGGACAGAAGACCCAGACAGGAAGACATAAGTGGAAGGGCTCATTTCCTGTGTTCCCTCATTCCTTCTAGTGTCTTACACCTTGACAGTTGGGAATGGTTTTTTTTTGGTTTTGTTTTTTGGCTTCCAACCTCAGGTCACCCCACCCCCGCCCCAACTTTTTATCCCCAAAGCTCTTGACTGATCAAAGATTTCTCCCTCCAGCCCACCTCCCAGCATGACATCAGTATTTTGTAGCTTGTGTGCCCAATGCTCTAAGACAAATTCTCAAAGCGTGGTCCATAGGCCAGCACCACCCGTTCACTTGTTAGAAATGCAAACCCTCAGGCCTCATCCCAGGCCCACTGAGTCAGAAACTTGGAGGTGGAAGTTGAGTTTGGCGATGTGTTTTAAGAAACTCTCCTCCTAATTCTGGTGCACTGTCAAATTTACAGCCTGCTGCTCTAAGACACTGCTACTTAAAGGTTCCGCACGTGCCAGCAACATCAGCACCCCTGGGAAACTGGGCACACAGGCAGGATGGAGGCCCAGGTGTAGGGAGTGCCAAGTTTTGAAAGTGATCTTCACCCCCCTGGGGAGGAGGCTCCTGTTAGACTTGGGGAAGGGGGTCAGTCATACTGTTAAGAGGGCCGGGGAACATCCTCTTTGCCAGACACTCTACCAAGCGCCTGACATCAGTCACTTCATCTTCACAATCACCCACCCAGGTGATTCTAGGATGAACCATATTTTATAGACCTGAAAACTAAGCACAGAGAAGTTAAGTGGGTTGTCCAATCCAGCCAATGAATGGTAGAGGCAGGAATCAAACCCAGGCAGTTTGACTCACATACTGTTCAGATGCCTTATATTTAGGAAGAGTTTACAAACTGTGAAGTCCTGTGCCAGATGAAAAGGGCTGTACCTTCACTTTAATGGTGGTGGTGGGCAGAGAGGCTACAGGAAGGAGATCAACACACCTACACAATTAACAAGGCATGCCACACGGCCGGCTGGTACTGGCTACAAGAACCATTCCTGCGGGGCTCTAAACATTGAGGTTTTTCTCTTCATTGCTTCGTTTTACAGATCTCGAAGCAGTGGCTCAGAGTCCGGGTGCTTTACAGAGCTGCGCCCCAGTTCCTCAGTCCCCATCCCCACCTTGCTGATGGGAGTGAGGGGTGGGGGCCGGCGACCCTCTGTTCTCAGGTCTAAGAGGACATGAAGGATGGGCGGAAGGTGCAGGCCGGATGTGAAAAGCAGGACAGCCACCCCCCACTCTCCGCAGCCAAATTGCGGAGGGAGCTGGGGACTCCACGTTAACCCTGAGATGCAGTTTGGCACTTTGCGAGCCTGGTTGCTTCCTTTCTCAGCATTTCTCTTCATTCAACCCCCTTGTACTTCAGTTCCTCTGCGTCCGCCCCCGCGCCAGGCTGCGGGGGACAAGGACCGGGGTGGGCAGCTCAGCGACGCGGGGGAGATGCTCGGTACCGCGATCTGCGCGCACGGAGGACGCGCGGCTGCCGTCCCGGGGACCTAGGGGACGGAGCACCCCTAGAGGTCGCGGGGCACCGGACAGGCTCGACGGGGCTCCCCGCAGCCTCGATGCCCGGGTAGGGAGCAGGGCAGGGTGCGAGTGTCCCAGCGCGGAGAGCCTGCCCGGAGGCCTCTGGCTCTGGCGGGGACAAGGCAGGCCCAGACCCCTCCGGAAGCCGAAGCGTGGGCTGGAGGGGAAGGACGTGCAGCCCCGGGCCGGGGTCCCAAAGGAGCCTTCCGGCCTTGGTGGCTGCCAGCGCCGCGCCCCTCTTGGCGGCGGGCCCGGGAGGATGGACGGCCTCCCCGGAGTTCGTCCCGGCCCGTGGGCGCGAGAGCCGGGCCAGGAAACCCGGGAAGGGCGCGGTCGGTGTCTCGCTTCACAACCTCCTAAGTGTGTCCCAGCCCTGCCTGGTCGCAGCTGCGGAGAGTGGTTAGCCCGCAGGACTTGCGCAGCGATTGAAGTCCTGAATCTCCTTGCTGGAGACCTTGAAGAGGTGGCTTGATGTCGCTGGGTTTCACCCAGTCTCCTCGCAAGAAGTTGGTGAGAATAAAGCACCCACTTTCCAGGGTTATTTTGGGGGGACTGAACGAGCTAACGTGTGTGGAAAATGCTTTTAAAACCCAAAGGTATTGAACAAATACCAAGCATCCGTTATCCCCTTCCTTGACACTGCTGTGTGGATTTGCCTTGGTAATTTGATCACTAGTCCCTTCCTCAGGGATGTAACTGCTTTTTCTCCCTCTTGCTTCTAGCAGTGGCTGCCCCTGTACCTTGGCACATAGGCAGTCTTGGCCTCAGAGACAGGAATTTGCCCAACAGCATTTAGGCAGAAGAAGGGAGATTTGAATTCAGATCTGCCTGACTAAAGCCAAGGCTCCCAACCTTGGCATCAGAGTCTCCATCTGGTTGCCTGGGGCAGGGCCTGGAAGGGGTGTGTAGCAGCTCTGCTGGTCTCCACTTCTGGTTCCTAGGGTCATCACAATCCCCCTCCTTCCACGCCTGCCTGGGTGTGCACAGTTGCCCAATGGTGTCCCAGAAAACAGCCGTTCCCCCACGTCCTGCACACAATGCTTCCTGGGGAGAAAGAACCCATTTGGAACTGGTCTTGGACTGGTTGTGTGGGCAGCTGGCCACTGCCACCCAGCCAAACCTCCTCCCTAGCCAGCTCTCCTGTCCTGTCCTGACTTAGACTCTGGGGCTTCAGTGCCTAATTAGATCAAATTCTCTTTCCCCTGCAGAGCTCGTGTCAGAGTCTTTCCCAAAGCATGAGCCCCGACACCCACTTTTCCTCCCCCACTCCCTTTTCTGCTGAGGACACCTGGCATTGAGGAATTCTGAGGCCCCCTTCCAGCTTCAGATATCCTGTTTCAGCATCTCGTTCCTCCCTCGAGATGGATCTGAGGTCTTGTTCTCTTCAGCCTTCCCTCAGCCCTCAGCTCAAAGATCAGAACCTGCTGGGGACTTTCTCTCTCTCCCCCAGGCAAAGCCTGTCCTGAGCTGTGTGTCGGGGAGTTGTATTTACAGAGGCATCTGAAGACCCACAGGTGCTGTCCCCAAGGAGGACCTTTATGACCCTGGGGAAGTTCCTGAAGTCCTCTGAGCCTCAGTTTCCTCATATGCAAAACAAGACTAGCTATAACCACTCTGGTTATAAGGTTTCTGAGAGAGTGAAATGAGATTGATTAACGTGCACTAACACCTAGCACCGTGCCAGGCTCATGGTGGAGACCCTGAAGGAACCATCAGAAGGGATCCTAGTAGACATGATGGCTGAGAGGTGACTCCAGTGTAAATAAGATGCTATTAAGGTACCATGTCTCCAGACCTGTGGGGAAGGGATGGCTGTCAAAGTCTGACTTTTCAGCTATTTTTTCCTTCCTCCATTCTTTTCTTTCTTTCCTGTTTTTGGGGGTGGGGGATGGGGGTTTGAGACAGTGTCTCGCTATGTAGCTCAGCCTAGCCCCCTACTAGTGAT